GAGATGAGAGGCTGAGAAGTGTAGAAAAACAAAATGGAAAGAAAAATAAAAACAGAAAAAGAAAAAATAAAATAAATAAAAGTTAAAAAACAAACAAACAAGAAAATAGAAGCAAAGCCCCCAAGGATTCCATTAGTGAGGCTGCAAAGACCAGGGAAGTGGCTCTCAGGCCTCAAAGTACAGCCTGGCTAGAAGGGTCAGAGGTGTCACACAGCGCTAGGTATTTAGGAGACAGGATAAGAAGGTAAGTATAGAGAGACGAGAAACAGAAATGAAGAAAGACAAAAAGAAAAAAAAAGAGACAAAAAAGAAATTACCCCAGGGGTCCCACCAGCACGGCTGCACAGACAGGGTATGTGGCTCCCAAGCTGGGAAGTACAGCCCGGCTAGAAGGGCCTCCCCAGTTGAAAGAAGAAAAGGAAAACAAATAAACTAAACAAACACACAAACAAAAAAGGCCCCTGGGATCCCACCAGCATGGTTGTGCAGACTAGGGAAGCAATTCCCCAGCCGAGCAATGCTTCAAAGCCTTTCAAGAAGATGCAAAGCTGGCACACAGAGCCAAGTGTTTGAGAGAAAGGAGGGGGATGTGGTGAGAGGCCAGTAAGAAACCAAAAGAATCGGAAAAAAGCAACACAAGCAACAAAAAAATGGCACTCATGGAGCCAGACAATGTGGGCAGGGCAAATCCGAGTGGCATGGGGCTGAAGCTGGCATCTCCTGGCCGAGAGACTTTGGCCAGTGGGAAGTGGTGGAGGTCAAGTGAGGGGAAAAAGGGTAGGGGGTGAGAAAGTGTGTATCACCGGTTACCAGTTGTTCTGTCTCCTGCTGGGAGCTCCGTGAAGCTGCTTTCCCATACCCCTGTCTTCCATTCTTCAGTGTGGGCAGGGTAAATCCAAGCTGCATGAACCTTGCACTTCCTGTTCTGCTGAGCAACTGCAGCCAGCTAGGAAGGGCCTGAGGCCAAGTGGGGAGGAGAAGGATGGTGGGTGGGAAAGCGTGTATCACTGGTTACTAGTTGTTCTGTCTCCTGCTGGTAGCTCCATGAAGCTGCTTTCCCATACTCCCTGTCTGCCAATCTCTGACAGGAGTCCAAGATGTCAAATCCGTGCTGCGTTAGCTGATAGGGGACCTCGGCATGCATCTCTCCTTATTCTCTGTTCTCTGTCAGTTTCTTATTCCATTCAGTACTTGGCTGAGTTCTTCATCTCTTCATTAGGCACTTAGGGTTCCAGGATTGACGTTTGTCTCTGTTTTACTTAGTTTCTCAGGTCATTGCTGTGGGAGGACAGCTTGGCGCTTCTGTCTATAGTGCCATGTTGGCTCCTCTTCCCTCTGGATTTTAAAAAATAAAAATAAAAAAATGCCTAATATGGAAACATGCAAGTCAAACAAATTAAGCCCAAGAAGTACTCAGAAATAAAACAAATATCAAATGTTTTGAATGAACATTAGTATATGATGAGTATTTGTTGAATTGGGAAAAGGAGAGTACCATGGATCTGGAAGCTGGAGACTTGGATTGTAAGCAAGACTTTGGATTTGGCTCTGTGTGATGCTGGCTAAACCCCCAATATCATTTTGATCATCTTTAATTATCCTTCAGTGGTTTGAATTACTGGACTTCAGAAAGCACTTTCCAAAGATATAAAGATCTAAAGATCCTTAGATAGAAAGAGCAAGTTTCTGAAGAAAGAACCAACTTTCTTTCTGGGAAGCATCCAGTCATAAATATGCAAAAATCTCTTGGAAACAGCAGATATTTGAGAAATAAAAAGCAGAAATTCTATTTTTCCCAGTACCCAGCTTACTCTCATATGTAATTATCCTATACTTTTATGGTCAAAAGGTAGTAATGTGTGTCCTGAGAAACTTATATTTTTCAATAAGGGTAGGGGAAAAGGAAGGAAAGGTGGTTGACATATGAGATTACTGTCTCCAAAGAAAAATGCCTATTCAAATAAGATTGTTTGAGAGTGATGGATTAAATTATAATGTTGGGTTACTTCTTGTGAGAAAGTTTTGGTAAAATAATTAAAATTTCTTTTTTATCTAATCAGTCTTCATTGAAAAATGAAAGACAGCACCATGAAAGAGAGGAAAAAGGGGTAGACACCAAAATTTATTTAGTAAAAAGAAACAAACAAACAAACAAAATAACAAAACCCAGCTGTCTTCGAATCAACTCCGACTCATAGAGACCCCATGTGTATCAGAATAGAACTGTACTCCATACAGTTTTCAATGGCGGATTTTTTCAGAAGTAGATAGCTAGGCATTTCTTCTGAGGTGCCTCTGGGTGAACTTGAACCTCCAATAGATTGATTAGCAGTCAAGCTGCTTACTTATTTGCAGCATCCAGGGACTCCATTTATTAAGTGTTGTTGTTAGGTGCTGTCAAGCCAGTTCCAACTCATAGCGACTCTCTGTACAAAAGAACGAAACACTGTCCGGTCCTGCACCATCCTCACAATCATTTTTATACTTGAGCCCATTGTTGTAGCTACTGTGTCAATCCATCTCATTGAGATTCTTCCTCTTTTACCCTGACCCTCTAATTTACCAAGCATGATATCCTTCTCCAGGACTGTTCCCTCCTGATAACATGTCCAAAGTATGAGAGACATAGTCTCACTATTGTTGCTTCTAAGGAGTATTCTGGTTGTACTTCTTCCAGGACAGATTTGTTCATTCTTCTGGAATTCCATGATATATTCAATATTCTTCACTAACACCATAATCCAAAGGCATCAATTCTTCTTCAGTCTACCTTATTCATCATCCAGATTTTTCATGCATATGAGGTGATTGAAAACACCATGGCTTGGGTCAGATGCACCTTTTTCTTCAAGGTGGTATCTTTGCTTTTTAACACTTTAAAGAGGTCTTTTGCAGCAGATTTGCCCAGTGCAATGCGTGCTTTGATTTCTTGACTGCTGCTTCCGTGGGTGTTGATTGTGGATCCAAGTAAAATAAAATCCTTGACAACTTCAATCTTTTCAATAGTTTCTCAGTTTATCATAATGTTGCTTATCGGTCTGGTTGTGAGGATTTTTGTTTTCTTTATGTTAAAGTGTAATCCATACTGAAGGCTGTGGTCTTTGGTCTTCATCAGTAAGTGCTTCAAGTCCTCTTCATTTTCAGCAAGCAAGGTTGTGTCATATGCATAATGCAGGTTGTTAATGAGTCTTCCTCCAATCCTGATGCCCCGTTCTTCTTCATATAATCCAGCTTCTCAAATTATTTACTCTGCATACAGATTGAAGAAATATGGTGAAAGGGTATCACCCTGATGCACACCTTTCCAGACTTTAAACTGTACAGTATCCCCTTGTTCTTTTCAAACAACTACCTCTTTATCTATGTACAGGTTCCTCATGAGCACAATTAAGTGTTCTGGAATTCCCATTCTTTGCAATGTTGTCCATAATTTGTTATGATTTACACAGTTGAATGCCTTTGCATAGTCAATAAAACACAGGTAAGCATCTTTCTGGTATTCTCCGCTTTCAGCCAGGATCCACTTGACATCAGCAGTGATATCCCTTGTTCCACGTCCTCTTCTGAATCTAGCTTGAATTTCTGGTAGTTCTCTGTTGATATATTGCTGCAGCCACTTTTGAATGATATTCAGCAAAATTTTACTTGCATGTGATATTAATGATATTGTTCGACAATTTCTGCATTCAGTTGGATCACCTTTCTTGGGAATAGGTGTAAATATGGATCTTTTCCAGCTGCTTGGCCAGGCAGCTCTCTTCCAGATTTCTTGGCATACATGAGTGAGCACTTCCAGTGCTGCATCTGTTTGTTAAAACATCTCAGTTGGTATTCTGTCAATTCCTGGAGCTTTGTTTTTCGCCAATGTCTTCCTTCAGTGAAGGTCGGATGTCTTCCTTCAGTGAAGCTCGGACTTCTTCCTTCAGTGCTATCGGTTCCTGATCATATGCTACCTCTGAAATTGTTGAATGTTGACAATTCTTTTCAGTATAGTGACTCTGTTCCTTCCATCTTCTTTTGATGCTTCCTGCGTCATTTAATATTTTTGCAGCAGAATCTTTCAATATTGCAACTTGAGGCTTGAAATTTTTCTTCAATTCTTTCAGCTTGAGAAATGCCAAGCGTGTTCTTCCCCTTTGGTTTTCTATCTCCAGGTCTTTGCACATGTCACTATAATACTGTATTTTGTCTTCTTGAGCTGCCCTTTAAAATCTTCTATTCAGCTCTTTTACTTCATCATTTCTTCCTTTTGCTTCAGCTGCTTGACATTCAAGAGCAAGTTTCAGAGTCTCTTCTGCCATCCATTTTGGTCTTTTCTTTCTTTCCTGTCGTTTTAACGACCTCTTGCTTTCTTTATGTATGCTTTCTTCATGTATGAAGAAATGCCTTTTTTCAAAGGCATTCTACTATTTATTTAGTAGATACCAGCTATTTGTCAGGCTCAGTGCTAGGCATTTTGCATGTTTATCCCAAGTAAATATCTCAACACTAATGCCAGGATTCCACTCCCAGAGATTTTGAATGAACTGGTAGATAAAATGTGCAGCTGAGATTGAGAACTACTGCCCTTGGGGGTCCAGTGATGACCAATTCCTGCTCCCCAGTAACTTTTTTTCTTGTGTTGTTTTCTATAGTATTTATAGAAAATTTTGTAAATTTTATCAGGCATGTTCCCTTATAGCACAGGCAGTACCTGCATGCCACCCACAATAACAAGATCACCTTGAAACATACCCAATAACTCTTAAATATTTTCTGCTCTTGAGCTTGTATGCTAACCTCATAAATTCAAGGTTGATCCTTTTGCAATTTCCTCTTTGGCCCTAATTTCGAAAAGGAATTTGGGGCAGCTGATCAAGTGCTTAACTGTACAACAATTTAGAGCTAGAATCTCTCCAGTGTTTTGTAAAACATATAGGACTCAGCAGTCTTGCATTTAAAACAGCGAACATTGCTCTGTCTTCCATTGTCTAATATGGAATGATTTTTTTTTTCTTTAGACTTGATTCATTGCCTCAGGTGTGCCTGTGGAGTAAGATGCAGCAGCCTGTATTATAAAGTCTCCACTATTTGACTTAGAATGGTCTACTGGCGTACACTTTTCCCAGGATTTGAACAGCAGCACTGTCTTTGTTGAGGCTTGCACAGCCCAAGGACTACTACCCAAGCTATCAGTGTGTACAGTCCTGCCTCTATGAAACAGTCACTCACCTGTAAACAAAATGGTCATGAGCTGTAATCGCCTGCCAAGGTCACACTATCACGAGCCTGCAGCAGTTAAATGCCAACCACACAGCTTTAAAACCCTGTTGGCATAGTACAAGACTTTAGAAACTGCCAAAGGGGACATGACCTACCTACACAACTCAAATCCGTGGGCCATAAATCCAAACCCCATGAGAAGCCTCTTCACATGTTATTTTGTTCTACAAATTCTACTCCCAATTTTATTTCTCATTGTTCAAAGCACATGCACCAAATACTGAGTCTTGAGATAACACTCCCAAAACTGCAAAGTTCTTCCATGGAATAATTCAGGAGACATGCTCTGTTGGCAGGATGGCTTCCAAAGGGGAAAAAGGAGGAGCTAAGCTAAGCATGCTCAGTTTACTTACTCCAAATATACCACCAGATGAATCGCTTCACTTCATCTGGGCAAGCGGAAGGGCAAGGTAAGGTTGTAGTGGTGGTGAGGAGGGTAAGCTGAGAGGCTTAAAGAGTTAAACTAATTGAGCTCCCTGAACAGGGGAGGGAGTATCAGAAATGGGGAAGAAGAATTTTTCTTAGCAATCCTCATTTGAAAGAATATTTTTAAATTTTATTATTTTAACTTCTAATTGAAACCAAAAAAGACCAAACCTGTTGCCGTCGAGTTGATTCTGATTCACCACGAACCTACAGGACAGAGTAGAACTGCCCCATAGAGTTTCCAAAGAGCACCTGGTGGATTTGAACTACCGACCTTGTGGTTAGCAGATGTAGCTCTTAACCACTACATCACCAGGGTTTCCTTTCTAATTGAAGATGGCATATATTCAGAAAAATGAACATATAAGTATGGTAGTTTTAAAATATATCCAAAAATCATTTGATACTCCACTCTTCAAAAGGAAGAGCCCAATTCTTCTCCCCTCGAGTGTGGGCCAGACTTAGTGACTCACTTCTAGTGAGTAGAAGGTGATATAAGTGTGACTTCTGAAATTAGGTCATCAAAAGCATTGCAGTTTCCTCCTTGTCTTCTCTCTTAAACCACTCACTCAGGAGAAGCCAGCTACCATGTTGTGAAGACTCTCATGTAGGCCAATGAAGAGATATACGTGGTCAAGAGCTAAGGCCTCCTGCCAACATCCAGGTGAATGAGCCTTCTTGGATGAAGATCCTCCAGCCCCAGTCAAACCTTCGGATAACTATAGCCCCATTCAACAACTTGACCATAACCTCATGAGAGATCCTGACCAGAAACACTCAGCAGAGTTTCTCCTCAGTTCCTGGCCCACAGAAACTGTGAGATAATAATTATTTAGCATTGCTGTAAGTCCCTCTAAGTTTTGAGTAATCTGTTATACAGCAATCAATAACTAATACAATAAGTATACAAATCAATTTTCAGAAGCTGAACCCCCCAGTACCCAAAGCAAGAAGCAGAACATTACCCTACTTCAGAAGTTCCCTTTATTTTTCTTTCCAGTCATTGCCCTCTTCCCTGAAGAGTATGTATAATATTGATTTCTAACAGCATATATTAGTTTTGCCTGTTTCTGTACTTTATATAAATGAGATTTAAGACTATATGCTGTTTTTGGTCTGATTTCTTTCACTCAACATTATATTTATGAGATTTATCTATATTGTTGAGTAGAGTTGTAGATGATTAATTTTTGTTGCTGCATAGTTTTCCATTGTATGAATATGTTGAAACTAATTTATCAAAAAAATATACTATTTATTAATTTTATTAAATAATTTTTTACAGTTATATATTAAAATGAAGTCTTAACATGTAACAATATAGCTGTCTATAACCACAACTTTCTTTTCCATCTGGATAGGCAGATGTTTGCTGTTGACTTTGGATTCAGACAGACCTGACTTTGATTTTTATTTTGCTCAGTTATTTCTTGTGTGTTTGTAATCAAGTTAATGAAAATCATATATGTATTATATGATTTTTATTATATGATTACATATATATACTCTACAAAGGGGATAATAAGAAAAATTTTCATAATTCTCTCCATAGACCCTGAAGATGCCTTGAAGAAAATTAAATACCTATTCCTGACAGAAAAAAAATTAATAAAATAAAAATATATGGATATTTCCTTAGAACATACTTAAGCCCCAAGTCTGAAATTTTACTTAATGGGTAAACCAAAGGACATAAAAGCTAAATCTTATATAATCAATAATAGAATTTGTAAAGTACCAGAATATAAAATGTTAACACACAGAAACCAGTAGTCTTTATATTAACAAACAATATATAGTTAAAGGGTGCAATGTAAGAGCAGACTACATTTACAATAACCCCCAGTGCTGTCGAGTCGATTGCGACTCATAGTGACCCTGTAGGACAGAGTGGAACTGTCCCATAAGGTTTCCAAGGCTGTAAATCCTTACAAAAGCAGACTGCCACATCTTTCTCCTGTGGAGGGGCTGGTGGGTTTGAATCCCTCACCTTTCAGTTAGCAGCCAAGTGCTTAACCACTGTGCCAGTAAGGCTCCTTGCATTTACAATAAACCTGTTGCTGTCAGGTTGATTCCGACTCATAGCATTTACAATACGAATTTTAGAAAGGTAAAATACTTAGGCATAAGCTTAGCATGATATGTTCAAATCTATATGAGAAAAACTTGAAAACTCTTGAAAAACACAAAACAGGGCTTGAACAAATAGAAAGACAACTCTTGCTCTTGTATAGGAAGACTCAACATTAGAGATATGTCGCGTATCCCAAGTTAATACATACATTTAATATGCTCTGAATAAAAATATCAAAAAGTTTTTTTTTTCTGGAGCTAGACAAATTAATTCTACAACAACATGAATCTAGCAATAGACTGCAGTAAACATCCGTGTACACATTCACATCTCCTTATGCACATATAAGAGTTTCCCTAGGGAATACGCTTAGAATTGGAACTGCTGGGCCACATGGTATACACATCGTCCAACAAGCTGCTTTCTAAAATAATTGTTTTGTTAATTGCCATGTTAGCAATATTGATCATGCGTTTTGATTGCTAGATGATTATTTTCCTTGGAATTTTATAATTTTATTTGTTTGAATTCTTCAAAGCTTGAATTGCAGTTGAGTTTCCTCAAGATGATTTGTGTATTTGCTTCTACTTTTGCCAACCTGAAACCACTTTAAATGAAATTCCATTTTTGAAGTTTTTCAGACCATACAGGTAGCATGAATTCAAGCCATAAAACGGTGTGAGTGATGACTTCTGGTCACAAATCCTCACAGGAGATTTTTGTCTTTTGCTTTCGTTCAGTAGAAAGTTTCATGTAGGCATAAACTACTGTATAGCAGGTTTATTTCTTCTTCACTTTTACACAGAGGGTAGAGTCACTGAAATACCAGCACAATGTGGGGGTTTTCTGTTAGATTCCCCACCTTAGCTAGACCCAAGGCCTTTTCCCTGTCCTTCTTGCCCCTTGTAGCCAGCAAATGGGAAGCTCAAGGTCTCTAGGATTTAGCCAGATTCCTCAGAGTGAAACTTGCTTTGGTGCACATTGTCTCAGGATTCCAGCATTTCACCATTCCTGGCCTCAGTGGGCTCGTATTTTTTTTTTTTTTTTTAATCAGTTTAGCAAATCTTTCAAAAGGATTTTTAACATTTGAATATTTTCTAAAAACTTTAATTCTGAGTATCTAGTCTGTAATTGTGAAAAAAAGAAAGAAACCCACGTTTAGATCTTTAGTCCACCTGTAATTTAGTTTTTGTGTGTGTGTATAAAGTAGGTATATAATTTGTTATAATCCTAAATGAACAGCCAATTGTAACATCATTTGTTGTTTAATCCATTCTTTTCCCACAGATTTGATGTGCCACTTCTGCCCCATGCCAAACTCCTATATATGTACTTGGATATGTTCCAAAGCTTTCTTTTTCATTCATTTAATATACTCCATGGCAACAAGTTTATTTTTGGTTTTATCCTAGGCATTAGTGAGCTGAAATGGACAGTATTGGCCATTTTGAATTGGACAATCATATGGTCTACTATGGCAGGAATGACAAATTGAAGAGGAACAGCATCACATTCATTGTCAAAAAGAACATTTCAAGATCTATCCTGAAGTACAATGCTATCAGTGATAAGATAATATCCATACGCCTACAAGGAAGATGAGTTAATACGACTATTACTCAAATTTACACACCAACCAGTATTACCAGTGATGAAGAAATTGAAGACTTTTACCAACTTCTGCAGTCTAAAATTGATCAAGCATGCAGTCAAGAAGCATTGATAATTACTGTGGATTAGAATGTGAAAGTTGAAAACAAAGAAGGATCGGTAGTTAGAAAATATGACGGTGGCGATGGAAACAATCCTGGAGATCGCATGATAGAATTTAGCAATACCAACAACTTCTTCATTGCAAATACCTTTTTTCACCAACATAAATGGCGACTATACATTTAGACCTCCCCGGATGGAATACACAAGAATCAAATCGACTACATCTTTTGAAAGAGACTATGGAAAAGCTCAGTATCATCAGTCAGAACAAGGCCAGGGGCCGACTGTTGAACAGACCATCAATTGCTCATATGTAAGTTCAATTTGAAGTCCAAGAGAGCCAAAATACGACCTTGAGTATATCCCACCTGAATTTAGAGACCATTTTGGGAATAGATTTGACTCACTGAACATTAATGACCAAAGATCAGATGAGTTGTGGAACGACATCAAGGACGTCATATACGAAGAAACCAAGAGGTCATTAAAAAGACAGAAAAGAAAGAAAAGACCAAAATGGATGTCAGAAGAGACTCTGAATCTTGCTCTTGAACGTCAAGTCGAGTAGCTAAAGCGAAAGGAAGAAATGATGAAGTAAAAGAGCTGAACAGAAAATTTTAAAGGGCAGCTCAAGAAGACAAAGTAACGTATTATAGTGACATGTGCAAAGACCTAGAGTTAGAAAATCACAAGGGAAGAACATGCTCCCCATTGCTCAAGCTGAAAAAACCTGAAGAAAAATCCAAGCCTCCAGTTGCAATACTGAAAGACTCTATGAGTGAAATATTGAACCATGCAAGAAGCATCAACAAAAGATGAAAGGAATACTCAGAGTCACTGTACCAAAAAGAACTGGTGCACCTTCAACTATTTCAGGAGGTAGCATATGATCAAGAACCAATGGTATTGAAGGAAGAAGTCCAAACTGCACTGAAGGCACTGGTGGAAAATAAGCCTCTAGGAATTGACGGAATACCAATTGAAATGTTTCAACAAACAGTTGAAACAGTGCTGGAGGTGCTCACTGGTCTATGCCAAGAACCTGGACAACCGACTGGAAGACATCCATATTTGCACCCATTCCAAAGAAAGATGATCCAATAGATTATTGTAAAATATCTTTAATATCACACATAAGTAAAATTTGGCTAAAGATAATTAAAAAATGATTGCAGCTGTATATTGACAGGGAATTGCCAGAAATTCAAGCCAGATTCAGAAAAGGGCATGGAATGAGGGATCACTGATGTCAGAAGGATCCTGGCTGAAAGCAGAGAATACCAGAAAGATGTTTACTGGTGTTTTTATTGACTATGCAAAGGCATTCGACTGTGTGAATCATAACAAACTAATCGATAACATTGTGAAGAATGGGAATTCCAAAACAATTGTGCTCGTGAGGAACATGTATATAAATCAAGAGGCAGTCATTCAAACAGAACAAGGGGATACTTCCTGGTTTAAAAACAGGAAAGGTGTGCATCAGGGTTGTATCCTTCCACCACATTTATTCAATCTGTATGCTGAGCAAAGAATCGGAGAAGCTGAACTATATGAAGAAGAATGGGGCATCAGGAATGAGGAAGACTCATTAACAGCCTGTGATATGCAGGTGACACAACCTTGCTTGCTGAAAGTGAATAGGACTTGAAGCACTGATGAAGATCGGAGACCACAGCCTTCAGCATGGATTACATCTCAACATAAATAAAACAAAAATCCTCACAACTGGATCAATAAGCAACATCATGATAAATGGAGAAAATACTGAAATTGTCAAGGATTCCATTTTGGTTGAATCTACAATCAACACACATGGAAGTAGCAGTCAAGAAATCAAATGATGTATTGCATTGGGAAAATCTGCTGCAAAAGACCTCTTCAAAGTGTTAAAAAGCAAACATGTCACTTTAAGGACTAAGGTGCACTTGACCCAAGCCATGATCTTTTCAATTGCCTCATATGCATGCGAAAGCTGGACACTGAATAAAAAAGAACAGAGAAGAATTGATTGATTTGAATTATAGTGTTGGTGAAGAATATGGAATATACCATGGACTGCCAGAAGAATGAACAAACCTGTCTTGGAAGAAGTACAGCTAGGATGGTCTTAGAAGGGAGGATGGTGAAACTTAGTCTTATATACTTTGGTCATGTTATCAGGAAGGACCAGTCCCTGGAGAAGGACATCATGCTTGGTAAAGTAGAGGGTCAGCAAAGAGAGGGAGACCATCAATGAGATGGATCGACACAGTGGCTGCAACAATGGGCTCAAGCATAACAATGATTGTGAGGATGGTGCAGGACGGGG